ACTTTGAGTTTTTTTTTAGAGACTTTATATTAATTCGATATTTATGATTTATAGGTGATTGTACATCTATAATATAAAACAAGATAAATTTTAATAAATTTATCTGACAGTCTTAAATAGACTCATTTAACAGTCATCAACGTCTCTGTTAAAATTATTCATATTGCATCGTGCCTTTAAATACGAATTACCCTTAATATCCGTATGTCCGAAAATTATAGGATTGATATGATTCTTGATTATTAAAAAAAAAAGAATAATCTAAAACGTCCCATTGTAAAGATGAATAGGAGTGGAATGATGATTGATCATTTGATGGGGCCTAGAGATATCGTGCAANCATGCAAAATTTAGTTCATACGTTTGAGGGATCTTTCCATTTACCTCATTTGAATTTCTTATTATACTAGTTTGTTTGTTTATTGGCTAGTGTGAGTTCTTACGTCTCAATTAAGATAACGTGACTGTGGAGAGAACTTGTATCACCCATTAAAATAAATAAATCAATTAAATTCTGATTTATATGATTGAGGAGTTTGTTTGCCCATTGCCGATGTAAATTGTACCACGTTAATGTAAACATTCAGACAACTTTAGAAAATAGAATTAGAAAAAAAAAAAAAAAAAAAAAAAAAAAAAAGAGGAATGGATAACAATTGCATGAAATAACTTAAACCCAAAATTAACTCGGCAGAGATCTTAACTTTGAGTTTTCTTTTAGAGACTTTATATTAATTCGATATTTATGATTTATAGGTGATTGTACATCTATAATATAAAACAAGATAAATTTTAATAAATTTATCCGACAGTCCTAAATAGATTCATTCAACAGTCACCATCGTCTCTGTTAAAATTATTCATATTGCATCGTGCCTTTAAATACGAATTACCCCTAATATCCGTATGTCCGAAAATTATAGGATTGATATGATTCTTGATTATTAAAAAAAAAGAATAATCTAAAACGTCCCATTGTAAAGATGAATAGGAGTGGAATGATGATTGATCATTTGATGGGGCCTAGAGATATCGTGCAAGATTCAAGAATCCAAACAAAGAAAAGTAGGATGTGACGGAGTCAATGAAATTGATTCAACCAAAGGTTGAAAGGTGTTTTTGGGTAAATCCCACTTTGTTCTCTTAAAGATACAAAAGAATTTAATTTATTTTTTACATTGTTTTTCGAAAAAATAAAAATGTTATAATGTAACTCACCATCTAATTTTTTGTTTGATTATTCATTTGTTTTATAATTTTTGATTGGTTGATTTGACACAAAATAGACGAACGACCAAATATAAAAATAAAACAGTGGACCATATTATAAATTTTTTATTTTTTTAAGGGTACAATGAGAAAAAATTAATCAATCGAGAACAAAATAAGAATTTTTGTATCATTCAGGGACAAAATGAGATTTTCCCCACTTTTTTTTTTACCACAACCACTACTTTGTCCATGACTATGACTTCTCCAAAGTGCTTCTATCTTATTTTCTTTTCTTTTCTCGCGAAAGTGACAACCACATCCTCTCTTTTTTTTCTTCCAAAAATGAAAGTGATTACANTTTTTAGAGACTTTATATTAATTCGATATTTATGATTTGTAGGTGATTGTACATCTATAATATAAAACAAGATAAATTTTAATAAATTTATCCGACAGTCCTAAATAGATTCATTCAACAGTCACCATCGTCTCTGTTAAAATTATTCATATTGCATCGTGCCTTTAAATACGAATTACCCCTAATATCCGTATGTCCGAAAATTATAGGATTGATATGGCTCTTGATTATTAAAAAAAAAGAATAATCTAAAACGTCCCATTGTAAAGATGAATAGGAGTGGAATGATGATTGATCATTTGATGGGGCCTAGAGATATCGTGCAAGATTCAAGAATCCAAACAAAGAAAAGTAGGATGTGACGGAGTCAGTGAAATTGATTCAACCAAAGGTTGAAAGGTGTTTTTGGGTAAATCCCACTTTGTTCTCTTAAAGATACAAAAGAATTTAATTTATTTTTTACATTGTTTTTCGAAAAAATAAAAATGTTATAATGTAACTCACCATCTAATTTTTTGTTTGATTATTCATTTGTTTTATAATTTTTGATTGGTTGATTTGACACAAAATAGACGAACGACCAAATATAAAAATAAAACAGTGGACCATATTATAAATTTTTTATTTTTTTAAGGGTACAATGAGAAAAAATTAATCAATCGAGAACAAAATAAGAATTTTTGTATCATTCAGGGACAAAATGAGATTTTCCCCACTTTTTTTTTTACCACAACCACTACTTTGTCCATGACTATGACTTCTCCAAAGTGCTTCTATCTTATTTTCTTTTCTTTTCTCGCGAAAGTGACAACCACATCCTCTCTTTTTTTTCTTCCAAAAATGAAAGTGATTACAGTGATAGAGAAATACATAGATATCTTCACATAACCAGTTGGCTTATTGTGTTAGCTACATGGTCCTTGCGTGTTAGGGAGGGACATTCGTTAAAAAGAAAGAACGAAAATCAACAGAGATAAGTCAATCTAACTCCAATTTGATATTCTCATTCCTCAATTCCTTTTTAACTTAAACATCGAAAGATCGACCCCGAAGCCTCTCCGATTTTTAACTTCTTGTTTCAAATTCTGTCTTTGGTCGGTCGAAGCACAACTCCGGTCAATCCCGTGCCTAGAGCTCGGTGAGCATTTTCTGACATCATCAGTTTTTTTTCCAAACAACNGTGAAATTGATTCAACCAAAGGTTGAAAGGTGTTTTTGGGTAAATCCCACTTTGTTCTCTTAAAGATACAAAAAAATTTAATTTATTTTTTACATTGTTGTTCGAAAAAATAAAAACGTTATAATGTAACTCACCATCTTATTTTTTGTTTGATCATTCGTTTGTTTTATAATTCTTGATTGGTTGATTTGACACAAAATAGACGAACGACCAAATATAAAAATAAAATAGTGGATCATATTACAATTTTTTTATTTTTTTGAGGGTACAATGAGAAAAAATTAATCAATCGAGAACAAAATAAGAATTTTTGTATCATTCAGGGGACAAAATGAGATTTTCCCCACTTTTTATTTTACCACAACCACTACTTTGTCCATGACTATGACTTCTCCAAAGTGCTTCTTTCTTATTTTCTTTTCTTTTCTGGCGAAAGTGACAACCACATCCTCTCTTTTTTTTCTTCCAAAAATGAAAGTGATTACAGTGATAGAGAAATACATAGATATCTTCACATAACCAGTTGGCTTATTGTGTTAGCTACATGGTCCTTGCGTGTTAGGGAGGGACATTCGTTAAAAAGAAAGAACGAAAATCAACAGAGATAAGTCAATCTAACTCCAATTTGATATTCTTGTAAGGGGTAGAAATTGCTACGGATCTCATCCCTCCACTTGAAGGATTCTGGCTGATCTGGCGGTACCGAACCCCAGTAGCCTTTACCTCTCTTCGCCAATAGGAACCTTTCCTAAGGCAATCCCACATCGGAAGAGAGTGGTCTGCCTAGTGGGTACCTCCTCCATAGGAAGTGTGATGACTCTCTTCCGATGTGGGATTGCCTTAAGGGGTAGAACCCTCTACTAAGGATTTCGGCTTGACCTGGGTTAAGCCACACGGGCGACCCCCCAGTAGCTTTTACCTCTCTTCGCCAATAGGACCCTTTCCTAAGGCAATCCCACATCGGAAGAGAGTCGTCTCCCTCCCTGTCATATAAGTGAACACTTCTTATGGAGGAGGTACCCACTAGCGACCTGATAGTGGGTACCTCCTCCATAGGAAGTGTTCACTTATATGGTAGGGGGGAGACGACTCTCTTCTGATGTGAGATTGCCTTAGGAAAGAGTCCTAAGAGTCCTATTGGCGAAGAGAGAGATTGCCTTAGGAAAGAGTCCTATTGGCGAAGAGAGGTAATGGCTACTGGGGCTCGGTGCCGCCAGGTCAGCCGGAATCCTTCAAGTGGAGGGATGAGATCTGTAGTAATTTTTATCCCTTACAATTCTCATTCCTCAATTCCTTTTTAACTTAAACATCGAAAGATCGACCCCGAAGGCTCTCCGATTTTTAACTTCTTGTTTCAAATTCTGTCTTTGGTCGGTCGAAGCACAACTCCGGTCAATCCCGTGCCTAGAGCTCGGTGAGCATTTTCTGACATCATCAGTTTTTTTTCCAAACAACAAAAAAGAAGAAATACTTTTCAAGGTTACTGCGACACTATGGATGGACTTGGAGCATGAGGGTTTTACATGGATGCTGAGAGGGAAAGTTGCCCTTAAAGTGAAACAATATAGGCCAAGGTTGATTTGCTCTTATTCTATTGGATCTTTGGTTTGGATTGGGTAGGGTTTGGGCTAGGTTGTTGTCCAGATGATGTTTGCCAATCCAAATTGTGGGCGGGGAATTCATGACACTATTGGAAATTCAACTCTGAAATTTATTGTTGGGTGGTTCTTATTATTTTGGATTTTCACATGGATTGTGACTACTAGAAAACTTTGTGTAGATTAAGGATTATATTCGTGGTTAAAGGTTATGTTATCGGTCATCGACTCGAAGAGTTATGAGACATTGATTGTGGTAGTATAGGGTGATACGACCTAAAAAAAAATGTTGAACATCACGAGAGTTTTTGGCATATGGTGGCGTTGTGGAACACCGACTTAATGACGATAACTCGACAACTCAAGATTAACTCAGATATAACTTAGACAATTTAATCGAGTCATACAAGATTCGAGATTTATACATATTGTGTAACAGTATTGTCTCGAAAGATGCCAATACTTTGAACTGTGATTACATCCAATTACTTGCTCCGATAATACATAGCCAACTCATATTTTGAAAAATTATAAGTAACTATCTGGTTTTAAGTCCAAACTAAAACTGTTAGATTTTTCAATCGTATACATCTAATTACATTCTTTTTTCTCCGGGGAACTTTTGAAAACTCTCAAGTTCCCCCCGGGAAATCTAATGCAAAGAGTGATCAAGAACACGGGCATTTGGATTGGGGGTGGTAGATTTACAAGACCATCCTTGAAGACGAAGAACACGGTACAAGAGGGCACCTCCAATGGCTCCTATAGTTGGTGCTGTGAGATAGATCCAAAGGTGATCAAACTTCCATGAAACTATTGCAGGCCCTAATGACCTTGCTGGGTTCATTGACCCTCCTGAAACAGGCCTGTAATGGAGAATGAAAAAGACTAAATGAATAAACAAGCAAAGAAGAGACTAGCATTTGTTCAGGTGTAGAAAGAGTCTGTTCTCACCCACAGATCAGCACTCCTAGTCCAATGGCTACTCCAACAACAAACCCAGACAACTGCCCTACCTGTAAAAAAGCCTCATCCAAGTCAACCATCTAATAAGAAAACAACAAAATAGATATAATGAGGTCAACTCGGAGGTGATTATGTATTATACGGTTGGGCGGTTATGAATTTTAGTAGGACTCGCTTACAGACTATTGACATGGTGTAGCGGTTACACCCGATATTTTTTTCTATTCCAAAAGTGGTGCAACGTAATGTAGCTGAAAGAACAGTTTAATGTCATTTTAAGAGATTTTTACATCTAGTATTTGGAAGATTTGTCCTAATTTGATTAGGTGGGCAACTTGGACTAGTTACCCAATCCAAACCCTTCAATTCAAATATTGGCCTAAAACTTGGAACTCGGGTTGAAATTGGGTTGCAAAATCTGAGCTAAAATTCTAATCGAATCGGATTTGATTCTCGAGTTACACAAGTTTGATTTGAGGTTGAGGTGATTCTTGAATTTTACAAATTCAGGCCGAAGTTTTGATTCAACTTGGGTTGAACCCCAATTCACATATCCAAATTTAGTTTGAGTTTGGTCCCCCAAACCTTAGACCTCTACGCGAATCTTGTCTTAATTCAAGTTGGGTTAAGAATTTTCTTTTTTCAAACATAACCCGAATGCTAGATGCCTAAGCCCATATATTTCACTTTGGACCCAGCTTGGCTCGCCCACGTTACGCCTCTATTATTTAATGGCTACACTTAGGTTAAAGCACAAATTAAATTGTTATTTTAANTGCCTAAGCCCATATATTTCACTTTGGACCCAGCTTGGCTCGCCCACGTTACACCTCTATTATTTAATGGCTACACTTAGGTTAAAGCACAAATTAAATTGTTATTTTAACATACGGATTGAGTTTCATTTGACAAGGATGCAGCTAGGAACACAACAATGAAAGTGGCAATGAGTTCCACCCAGAAAGCAGCAGAGCATCCATGGAGTGGTCTGGTAGCCATAAGCTCTGATTTTATGCCATACACTAACTTTCCCACATACGTAGCCAACACACAACCTCCCACTTGTGCCAATACATAAAGTGGAACCTTGCAAAACACAAAAAGGCAACATCTTCAATTTTGGTACAGTCGAAACGTTTGCATTTCAATAGAAAAAAAAACAAATAAGCGATTGAATACTGAAACTCATATGTTTCGGAGTGTTTTTGAGACATTTCAGTCTCAAAAACTTTTCTCATTCCATTATGTTTTTAAAACATTTTTGTTTTTGAGGTAACCAAAACAAAATTTTGAAGTGAGAATCGTTTTAAGTACCTTGGACCATGGAAATGGACCAACAGTTGCAAAAGCTATGGTGACAGCAGGATTAACATGAGCTCCAGAGATTGAGCCAATAGAGAAAACCACAACAACCACTGTCAAAGCAGCTGTGGTGGCATATTCCAACAGTCCTACTTGGCCTCCCATCAGCTGCATGCTGGCTATGATCCCACATATACAGAACATCAATATGAAACTTCCCACTGCCTCTGCCACAACCTGCACATTGCATCCGACATGAATTTTAGTGTTTTGATCTAGTCTTAGTGGGCTTGGAATGTAAATAATTGGATCCGCTAGACTAGCTAAACGTGTCAAATAGAATGAACCGATATGAATCCGACTAACCAGACTTGTACATGATATATACTTGATACAACATGAATTTGACTATACGAGGTTATAAATAAGTAGGGTATGGGTTAAACAAATTAACTTACACGACTTAAAAATATAATGGGACACGACCCCTTGACAGTTCTAAGTAAAACCCAAGTCTACGAAGTCAGAGACTCAAACTCAGGCAGTGCGGATTGACGCTATCGCTACTCACCTTATTGGACTACTGAAACCTATAATACCAACATATAATACCATGCTGAATACCAAATCCATTAAACTTGCTTAAGAGAGATAGTGAACTACTGGTAATCATCATCTCTTACCATTCGAACAAGAGTAAGAAGATCCATTCCAATGGGAAAACAGTGAAAACCCGAGTTCTTCATCAACACTTCTCTGTTCCTTGACATTGTATTAGAAGTAGAACCCATCTCTTGATCATATTTAGATTGATCATTTGTTGATGTATCGTTTGAAACATCAGGAAATGGTTGATCCTTAAACAAGGGTTTCATGATCAACCTTCTCTTGATGGAAAATTAAGTTTCGGGTCGAAGATGTCTCGTCTTTAAAGATCAGAAAAAGGGGGAAAAAAGATTTTTAAGTCAATCTCTCAAATCGAAAAATTAAGTTCCTATCATCTTTTTTTATTTTTTGGCACTCTTTTTGGATGTATAAATGTGTATTGCCTAAGAGGAGGTTGTAATGTTGGAGATTTGTTTGTTTATTCATACAGTTGATGTTCACAAATTAAGCAGTTGATGTTTGGTAACTTGAACACAATTTTTGTGTTGGTCCCTAAGAGTACAAAACAGTTGGTCATGCTTCTTCAGTGTCCTGTTTTAAAGAAAAGAAAAAAAGGGTTGACCACTTCTCCCCAACACTTTAAGATTTGGTTAACCTTGCACCTAGAGTGTCCCTCTTGTTTTTTTTTTCTTTGGTATTATGATTAAGGATATCTGGACTAATTTAAGTGCATCTGGACTAAACTCCTCATCATTTAAGTCGAGAGAATTGTTAGAATTGTTAAGTTTTGAACTCAAAATATCTGAGTTTATAATTCATCCCTGTTTTTCATCGGGCTACCTAGGAATTTGTGTCTCTCTTGTTTTCCAATAGTTTAAGGCGGCATATTGAATTTTATGCATCACACCACGAAACAAATAGCAAAATGAAACTATAAACCAAACAAACATGAGAGAAAAAGAGAGTGAGAGGGGGAGAGGGAGAGGGGAGAGGGGGAGAGAGAGAGTGAGAGTGAGATTCAATTGTTTGCTTTCTCTTGCATGTTTTAGAGTTAATGTATGTTGGGATCAAACTTCTATCATGTTACTAGAGTGGATCATTTGGTTCTATGAGTGTTAGTTACAAAGTTGTTGGATGTGGACTCAATCTAATAATGGGATCCATTAACTCAAGAAAATGAATCAATCAACAAATTGTGAAAGTAAATTAGATTCGAATAGTGCAACACCATGTTTATTTGGATACAAGATTATTCAAAGGTATGGATATGGGCTTTATTGGGTGATTTTAATGCAATCAAAAACCTTCAGGAGACCTTGGGGATACTAACAACTGTAATCAGTCTATGTATGATTTTGACAATTGTATTCAAGGTGCAAATCNAGCTAGGCCATTGCTTCTTCACAATATTAGAGATGGTAAAGCAACACACTTGTGGCATGATAATTGGCACACGCATGTGCGTCTTCTTCTTAAATGGTCGGAGAGAAACAGTGAACTTGCAAATCTGCCATCTACCACAAAGGTAGAAACCATTGTTAATGGTACCTGCTCGGCATGGTCTTCTTGAGGTACTCCAGAGCTGCTACAAATTCTCAATTCTATGTCGTCCAATAATCCCAACTCTCTGCATGCTGATAGAATTAAATGGCTCCCTGATCCTAGTGGTCATTATACAGCTCATTCAGTATGGAAATCTATTTATACCTTTGGTCCTAAGGCTCCTTGGCATGGGCTTGTATGGTATCCTCAATACATCCCTAGGATGTCTTTTGTTCTCTGGATTGCTTTTCATGGGAAGTTTGGAACGAATGATCGAATCAAGACTTATATGCAAAACATTAATACGACATGTGTGCTTTGTAGACCAACAAAGGAATGCATCAACCATTTGTTTTTTGATTGCCCTTTCACAAGTGAAATATGGAACAAGGTGCTTAGTCATTCTATGGTCTCTTGGTTCCGCCCATGTTGGTTATCAGCTATCCACTTAGCCTCCAAGTAGTGGAAAGGGAAATCCCTCAAATTCATTGTGCTCAAACTCAGCCTTTCCAGTTCTGTCTATACGCTTTGGAGAGAAAGAAATGNGTCTTTTGTTCTCTGGATTGCTTTTCATGGGAAGTTTGGAACGAATGATCGAATCAAGACTTATATGCAAAACATTAATACGACATGTGTGCTTTGTAGACCAACAAAGGAATGCATCAACCATTTGTTTTTTGAATGCCCTTTCACAAGTGAAATATGGAACAAGGTGCTTAGTCATTCTATGGTCTCTTGGTTCCGCCCATGTTGGTTATCAGCTATCCACTTAGCCTCCAAGTAGTGGAAAGGGAAATCCCTCAAATTCATTGTGCTCAAACTCAGCCTTTCCAGTTCTGTCTATACGATTTGGAGAGAAAGAAATGCCAGTCTTCAAGAATGAATTCAAGGATGCAACTACCGTTTTGAAGTTCATCCATTAACAGTAAACTTCTCATTGCCAACTTCAAATAATCCACATGAAATATTACTTTTCTCCAACATTGGAACAATTTTGTGTCTAATGCTTGGTCCTCTGATCTTCCATCATGAATGCTTGAATGCCCCAAACGACAAGGTAAAAGAATATATTCTGTTGAAGAATAAATGGTTCATGTAAAAAAAATTAAATTCATTTATACTAAAAAAATGTTTTATAAAAACACAAGCCTAATAAAAAAAAATTAAAACCTCACTTCAAGGAAAGTCCCATAATTTATAAGTGTGCAGTAATAGTCCAAATAAAAAATTTAAATTCATGCCTAAACAAAAGATTTCAACTCAAGTAGATTGAACATTTTAATTTAGCCGTAAAATTAAAAGATCCTAAAATTTATTATTTTAAAAAAAAAAGAAAAAAAAACTAACAGTAATACTAAAGCTATTAAAAAATTTAGTCTTATTCCCCAAAAAAAATAAGTTTAAAATTATCATCATAACTTTTTCAATCATTTTTTCCCTTTCTACAATCAAGTTCAAATATAATAACAAAAGTTTAAATATAAAATTTTAATTAATATTTTTGTATTTATTAAAATTAAAAATTAAATTTATTATTAATATTAAAAATAAAAAATCTCATTTAATATTTTCATTTTAGGCCCCAAAAAATCTGAGGCTGCCCTTGATTATTAAATCAACAAAAAATCAGTCTAAAATTTATAATTCAATATGATATTCATATTTTTTGTGGGTCTCATAAACAGGGTCTTCCCAAAGACAGATGTAATGTATTGGGGTTGTGCCCCTACATGTTGTACTTTTTTTATGCGCTGCGGAGGGGCGCCAAGTTTGTCTCAGTCTGACTACATTTCAAGGGAACTTGTAGATTGTGGACAAGGCCTTGGAGTCTCTGACTAGCTTTCAGCTTTTTCTGCATTTGATACCACAGTGTGTTAGCTCTCTCTCTCTCTCTCTCTCTCTCTCTCTCTCTCTCTCTCTCTCTCTCTCTCTCTCTCTCCAAAAAACAAAAAAAAAAAGAGCTTATCACTTATTATGATCTTAAGGCTCCAATCTTTAACTATTTGGGAAATATTTTTTGTACTTAATTTTATGATTTTATTTAATAATATGATAGATCATAGTCAATAAATTGAATAAATTCATATTGAGTTCTAACAAATAATAAGATATTTTGTCAATCTAATAACAGAGAATGATAGGGTCACCAAATAAAATCAAGCTTAGTTTTTTATAGAGTTTAATATAAATTCAAATATCATGAGTTCGAATCTTGATAATTTTTTAAAGTCAATTCATAAAAGATTATTCATGTCTCTTATAAATATTTTAATCCCAGTACAGAAAGCCTGCCTTTGACAAAACTAAAGAGAGAATTAATCGAATTACACGTAAATTAATTCAGACCTCCTGGCCGTTTGAACCATAAAAAAAGAACAAGAAAAAGATAACAATATTCCTTCCTGCTCTCAAGCCTCATCCCATTGATGTGGGTGTAGTGGTATTCAAATATGGAGGCCATTCTATTCAACTGCCCAAAACATACACTTCACAAAAGGAATTTGCCTTATATTACACTGCTCATTTGGATTTCAAAGACTACTTGCATAAAACAAAACATACAAAATTGGGGAATCTATCATCAATATTTTCATAACCTTAGATCAATAACCCATCACTTTGCACTGAAGATGATCTTGATCATTTCCTTTGGCCAACATCTGATAATTAATCTGAGGAAACTGTACAATGTTAGCGATAAGATCTATCGATGATTTTTTAGTTTTTCTCGAGGTACTTTTTCGTATGTGAGTGCAAGAAAATAATCAAATTGACTCACTGAACCTAGAGGAAGTCAATTTGAAGTCAGAGCAACTTGTTTGCCTCATCAACAATGATGAACTAAAACCAAGCATAGAAGTTCTCAAGTCAAACTCCAAAAGATTGTCCTCTAATTGGTATCCCCCTATGACAATTGAAGTTTTTGGACTCAACCCACCATCCAAGAACCCCAAGCACATCACCTCATCACTCACCATCACCATTGAGTTCCTCCCATATATCTTCCACCTGACCATCTCACTTTGCAACACAAGATCAATCACTGGCACAGCCGCCCCGACCAGCGTGTTATCGATTGTTTTCGAGTTAAAACAGACCCCAAATGGTGCTACTGGTGCCACCCTAGTCATGTTCATAGAACTAGCAGCCATGATATAAGCTCTAGTAAATGTCTCATAGATTGTGCTCTCAAATGTAGTGTAAGGAACAGTTGTACTTATTTTTGTCCCTCCACGGCCTTGTTGGTCCACCGATAACAAGGATGAATTAAACGATAATCGCTTGCCCTTAATTCTAATGGACTTCACATTGATGAAATACTCTTCCAACCTATGATCTTGGTTTGAAACAAAGGGTGTGTAAACTAGTGTCCTCGAAATGTCGGTGCCGGAAAGCGAGACATAAGGACCACCACCGGCAAAAATGGCACCATCCGATGAGGATAGGCAGATTGCAAATTTCTTTTGGAAGTCAAATGTGTTAGCAAGTTGTGAAGGCAATGCAATTCTAGTCTTTGCAAGGCCTAATATACCTTTGACACCAGAGGCAAGGCCTCTTAGAAGTTGTGTAGGTGCACATGAGAAGAGGAAGTGATGAATGGTAGCTACTGAAGGATAGCCAATCCTATGCCAATCTGCAAGTTCAACTGCTATGGTGTCTTCTGCTAATTCCCCTGATGTGACCACTCCTGTTAATTTAGGGGTATCAATTTCCGCCATTAAAACAAACACCGAACCCAAAAATAATAAATAGATCAATTTAGTTGATACTGTAAAATGAAAATACATATTTTTCAATTTTTTTTCTTTGTTAGTAGCAAGATTATCGGGCAGGGCACGATACAAACTGAAATGACAAGTCAAATATTACACGACTTAAACACAAGGAGTTGACTATAATACCGGAAAAAAAGATTTGGTATCATATTGTGCCGATATTTATCAAAGTTGTGAACATTTTTATTACTACTAGAAAAATAAAAGTGATAAAAAATAGTTATAACATTGATAAAAATACTTCATAAAAAAACACACCTATAAAAGTGTTAATCTTTTTACTTAAGAAAAATTGTAAAAATAGCTACCCACAAAAATGATAAAAAATACTGATAAAAGTGATTATTTTTTTTGTACCTAAGAAAAATAGTAAAAATAATTACAAAAAAAGTGATAAAAATATACATACAAGTGGTAATTTTTTTTATACCTAAAAAAATAGTAAAAAAAAAAATTGCAACTGATAATCTAGAGCTTATTAAGTTGAGTTCGACTGAAGTTGTGCCACCATGGGAGATAGGTACTTTTATTGGTGATATCCAGCACTTCTCTAAGGTTCTTAATTTACGTTTTTTATACAAGCTTAGAGCTCTTAATCGAGCAGCTCATTGGGTTACAGCCAAGGTTTCATCCAACTCAATCCCATTGGATTGGGGGCGCTGCCTGCCCCCTCTCCCTCTCGAGTTTAAGGCTTTATTATCTTCTAATTGTAATCATATTTATTCTAAATAAATGATATCTCTACATAGTTTTATCGTGCAAAAAAAAAAATAGTAAAAATAGTTACTATAACAATAATAAAAATATTCACAAAATTAATAAATCACTCACAAAAAATAATAATTTTTTTTTCTAAAAATACACAGAAAAATAATAAAATATTCACAAAAATAATACATTTTGGACGTATCTGTTTGGTACCATAATCAAGTCCTAAACATAAATATGACACAATTCGATTGAGAGGTTTACCTGTGATGGTGTTTTCTGGGTCAAGGAGACAATTCTTGGTGTCATGCCCTGCTGGTGTAGCACAGCAATTGACCTTCGCTATTGAGCACTGGAGTGAGCTACACTTGATGGGATGGTGAGATGATGATTCAAGGCCTGACTGATCACAGTTTATCCAGAGAAATGGAGCACCAAGATCAACAAGAAGCTTGAGTGGAACAGGGGGTGTGCCCATGTTTAAGTGGGTCAAATACTGGTGGGTTGAAACATCTTTGGTCACTTGAAGGAAGACACTAAGTGGGAAATCAGGAGTCTGAGCAAAAGTCGAAGTGATGAGGAAAATGAAGGAAGAGAACAGAAGAGGAACAGAGGAAGCCATTCCAGAGTCCGTGTGTGTGTGAGAGAGAGAGAGCTGGGTATGTAGGTGTTGGACTGTAGTTTTACATTGTTGCGGAGAGTTGACGCAGTGGGCTAAGAGTTGACGAGATGATGATCCAATAAGGGCGTGGAATGTGGATAAGGATTTGGCATTTTGATGCTTCTGCTGACTAGACATTGTCCGGCTAAGTATTCTCCATGGATCGAATTTTTATTCGAATATGACTTAAATTTGAATTTGATATATTTACATATGGATTAATATTTTTAATTAATAATTCAAACTTAAATTAAAATTTGAATTTATTATTTTATATTTCACTGATTCTGATTTAAATATATCTATACTCGATTTAAAATATGTTTATATTTCTATATAAATATTAGAGAAATTAAGTGCTTATTTGAAAATTTTAGTTGAAATTTAAATGCAATCTATTAAATTTTAGTTAAATTAAGTTATTAGGATCGAATTTTCGGATTGTTAATAAATTTAAATATGGATCATGAAAATAAAATTCATTAAATAATCGAATCAAATTTTTAAAATTAAATTCAAATTATTCAAAATTCAATCTAAATTCGATGCGTTGATAAGTCTAGTCACTGTTATGTAATTCTCTATGAATTGTTAAGTATTTAAAATTTTAAATATTCAAACAATACTTATTTAATAAAAATGTTTATAAAAAAACACTTTTAATAAAAATTTATTAAAAAAATATTTTTTAAATTTAATAAGTCATCCCAAACACACATCGTTAATCTCATTGTGCCTTTGAAGAATGTCACGAGAGATTGGGAGAGAAAAAACAAATTTGTCACATACATGTGGTAAACGAGTTTGAACCCTCCGGATCCAATCCTCATGAAGATCTGCCTTCAGCCCAAAAAAAGTTAGTGAGGCTGGCTAGGCCCAACCTCCAAGTAAACCTAGAGTTTTAGATGAATAACACACAACTAGTGAAGCCCACATACTTTATTATCCTCGTAATTACTCCATTTATGTAGAACAAGAGAACTGCCTGTGTCTCAGAGGATTAGTCGGGTACTTTAAGATGGTCGAGTAGCATTTAGTTATTAGTTAGAAAATGTCGATGCATATACCAACTTTACTAATGCCCCAAAAAATGACAGGCCCATTTTTTATTTTTTTTACGAAATATACATTTCCTTCTTGATAGCCTCATTACACCCTATAGTTACTTTTCTTGTCGATTCACTTGTGAGTAGCATGGTAAACAATCCGAGTTACATGGGTTCTGCTTGAATTCAACTTGTTTGGAGTTCGAGTCGTGCTTAAACAATTTTTAAGCTCGTTTAGAAAATAGGTCCTATAAACTCAAACTGTATTGGACTTGAAATCGCAAAATTCAACTTATTTTTATATAAAATAGATGAACTATTTGAGCTCGACTCCGATTCTGCTCATTTTGAACTTGACTTAATCTCGCTTGTTTAGAAAAAATGAGCCGAACTTAAACACTTTTAAGCTCGTTTTGAAAAACGAATTCGTCAGGTTTGAACTTGAACTAGTTCGTTCGACTCGTTTACCATACCTGCCTTTGAGATTTACAGTGAATGAATTCCAAGGAAATTAGTTTGGTCATGAAACCTCAAATATCAACCTTCTCCTCTCAAGTAGCAATCAAAATGTTAGGCAGGCTGAGGAATTTCTCATCATTTCAGAAGGAACTCATTACCTGTTTGGGCTTCCTTTCTCAAAATTATTTTTCATAGGCCCACAATAGAAAATGATAGATCTAGACCCATTACAAGGGTCATTGGAAAACACTATGATATCAAAAAAAACTCGACACTTTACGCAAGGTATCAGAATTAATTCGAGTCACTAAACTATATCTTTACGTCAAAGTATAAAGACTTATCCCAAACCTTACGTATCATGCAAATGATATGTTGCAAAATATATATCGACAAAATACCCAAAATGCCATTGGCACCACTGGACTTCACATCCTTAACCATCACTTACCCTATATTCCATCATAATATTTTATGATAAATCGTGAATTACTTCAATTATAATTTTATTACCAAATTGAATTATTCTTCTTACGTTATTTGTGATTTTTTACCGGCTACCTGAAAATCTTCACAATTATTAATGAGCTCCTGTATATGTACTTTTCCGGTTGTGCCCTACCAAATTTTCCATTTTACACTTTTACCGCCCAATTCAACCGCTTTTCATCATGAGACGCGGCTTCACTCGGGTCGGCTAACCGAGCTTCTTTTTTCATAACTGTGTTTTTATTTTTATTTTTATTTTGTTTCATAATGTTACCATTTAAAGTTAGAAAAATATGAAAAGAGGAGGGGAAATAGCAGTGGCAATTAGAATATTATTAGAAACTTTTTAGTTGGTTCATATTTGACTTATTTATAATCGAATATAACCCAGCTTGTATAGTTAAAACTAAAATTTTTGCTCTCAAATTTAATATAAGTTTTATACTAACTGTTTTGATTTAGGTGTTTTACTTTTTTCTCTCTATAAATGTGAAAATTATGTATATAATTTTTTGGCTAGGCAATCATATTTTGAATCTAAAAAGAAGGTGAATAATTTTGCCCAAAATATTAAGATTGTGTTTGGTTTTTAGAGAATAGGGGAATAAGGTCCAAAATTAAAAGAAAATAATAAATAAACTTAAAAAATTGATTTAAAAATTTGACTTAATGAATTACTACTATTGAATGGGCAGTGGGGTTCTAATAAATACTGAAATTCACAGTTAGTGTTTTAAAATCCGATCTAGCCCGATTGGGTTAACTTGGTGAATCGATGCCTAAACTCGAACCAGTTTAGCAACCAGATTCTTTGTGCATCAAACGCAGAATAAAACCCATTGAACTGGGTAAAAAATCGTTGAACCGTTCAACCTGGACGAGTTTAATCAAATCGGACGATTCATTTAGTTTAGTATAAATATCTGAGTTTTGGCCTTTTTTAGACATTTTGCCCTAAATAGTCTTTGTCTCTACCTCTTCGTTTTCGCTTGTGCCTCTTCGTCTTCGTGATAATGGACGTTAATATCACGTCCATCTCCAACGTGAGTTCCCAACCCTGCCTCTTCGCCTCTGCATCCTCTAGTCCTCTGTGCATTTGCCTATTTGTCTTTGCAACGGTAGATGTTATCATCATAACCATCTCCAACATGAATCTCCAATCATATCATCAAGTTTGATTTTTAAATTAATTTTTAAAATTTTTGTAACATTACTCAAAATTAAATTGATTTTGTCTGAAAGTTCACATTTTCCTCCTTTGGATTATTCAATATCTAAATGAACAACGGTAAAATAATAAACATGTATAGAATTAAAAAAAAAAAGAAAAAGAAAAAATAGAGAGTCAATATTCAAGTGCGGGCCAATAACAGGAATGGGGCAATGTCGACGAGCCGGAGTTGGGTTGGGGGGTTAAGAGGCCAACTCAAACTTAACCTAAGTTAACAAAATTCTTGACTCAAGTCCAACACAAACTCAACCTTCAATATACCTCAATTCGACTATTGCCCGCTCAAGCTTGGTGTGATCCCAAATTATTAAATCAAGTTCAATTTTTGAGTTGGATTCATGTTCCTAAATGTTAATACCTTAAACTCTATTCCTATTAAACTCACAAAGGCCATTGAAAACCAAGTCCATTAGAGACACAAGACACATAGAGTTTGTCTTCTTTATATACAAAAGGAGAGAGATACCTTTTGTGTGTTGCAACTGATGTGAGATTCTAACTTAAACATCTACTTTTGTTCTTTATTCAACATCTTGCATCTGTTCAACAAGGGAACTTCCACTCACTTTAGTACTATAAAAGATTTTTGATGAGGGTGAGTAACACATTATTTTATTGCGTAGCATTTTATTTATATACTAGTAATAACACGTACCTGAAGGCACTAAGCAACTCAAAAAACCTCGATCACCGGTTATGCAATATAAATATTTCAAAAATACTTTATTTTTTTATTATTTTCTTTAGTTATACAAATCAAAATTAATTTAAAAACACTATTTTTTTAAAAATTTTGACAAAACTTCTTTGAAAACACGACCCCTAACAAATATCAATTTGTACACAATTTATATATTTAATTATTATACCTAAAAAATATCTTCTTTTTTTTTGTAATAGTCGATATTGACATATGTGTGTTGGTGGGTGTATAGAGAGAGAGTTATATGAGAGATATGATAAACTTACGATAGATGAGAATATGATATAGAGAGAGATTAGGGTATTAATGGGTATTAGATATATTATGTTATTATTAGATATATATATATAGTCGTCCAAGCCAAACTCTCAGAAGATAAAATTATATGAGAAATGAGAGTGTGTGTAAGAAAAAGAGATGTAAAAGAAATAAAATTTCAATTAGAATCATATAGATATAGATAGATAGATAGATATAAGATGACATACTTGGACAGAGTTACACAGGGGCGAGAGTGAACACGAGTCCATCCTCAATTTTTTTATAAAAAATATGATATATATATATATATATAGGATGACATACTTGGACAGAGTTACACAGGGGCGAAAGTGAACACGGGCTCATCCTCAATTTTTTTATAAAAAATATGATATATATATATTCTAAAAGTTATACACATATATATAATTATTTAGTCTTTTTTATTATAATATGACTTTCTTCAGATGACCTTCATTTTATTATGAATTTTTGCAAATGAAAGTACTTTCAATTGATCTTCATTTGATTTTGTTTTTTTTTACGAAAAATTATCTTTTATTTTTATTTGAGTATTGATTATATCCTTTATTATGTGTCAATTGATTTTTAATTTTTTTACTATGTCTCATAGATTTTAGTTTAATAGTTTTATTATACTAATATTTTAGTAATAATGTTTAAAACATCGTTTATTGAATAAATTTAATAGATGGTTAGTGAATAATTGATATTTTTTAATTATAAAAATGACAATTAGCTTCACTTTTTACATTGGTGATAATTAGTTAATTTTTTATACATATATAATATTTGGGTAGGAGTAGATTAGATAAATT